GCAATGTTGGTTTGTCTTGCTTGTTACTTATGTAGGTAAATGCAATGAGATTTAGCAAGTTGCTCCATGGGTTCATGAGTTTATTTCCATGCCATAGTCAATAAAGATTGAGAAGTTCAAACCTCACCATTGGATTTGTTTTGGAAGAAATGGCATGGCAAGGTTATTTTGGTTCACTATATTCCAAGATATCAAGATTGATCCAAAAGTGTAAGGGATTGATTGAAGAAGTTGTCATGGTTGGACAAGGCCTTGTTCCCATTGGTCATAAGTGCATATTTCTCTAAATCCTCAAGATATGGAAAAGGTCTTTGTGGCTATGAATTCTCATTTTCATCCTCAATAACTTTTATTTATAAAGCAAGAGTGTTGGTACAAGAAGGTGGTTCAAAATTGTCAAGGTTCCTCAAAGCATTTTATTGATCTAGGAGCTAGGGGTTTGAACTTCAAAGAAGTATATTTTGCTCATATTTTGGTATTTTTGAGTGATTCCAAATACATAATTCTCTTAAAATGGTTATCAACAAATCACTTCAAAAGTTTAAAAGAGTTTTCATGTGGAAGAAACTTGATGATGAAGAAATATTACAAGTCCTCCAGATGAACCCCCAATTTCTCATGTGTGACTTCAAATGATCATAACTTGGCCAATTTTTATCACCTTGAACCCATTATTTTTCCATAATGATCTTGATGAGGTGAACTTTAAGCCTTCTTTTATGTACAAAGTGATAAAATGGATGGAAGATGCCCTAAGGATACAAAAGATTATAGGTCATTTCATGATTTTTTGTCAACTTCAACAATTCATAACTCTCTCAATTTTTGGAGATTTTGAATGGTTCAAGTTTCAAAATGTCATTCAAGAGGTCTATTTCATGCCATCTTTTTTGATTAAGAGCAAATTTTAAGTAGAAGTCCATGTTTGGATGCAAAACATTATAGGTCACTTTTGAAGAAAACTTTGAAATATTTCTAAGTATGGAAAGTCAACCTTTTTTTTTCTTCCAACTTTGACTCCATATAACTTTCAGCTCAAGCATCCATTTTATTCCATTCTTTTTCCATTACAAAGTTTGTAACCTCATCTTCTAAAGCATCAAGAATCACGCCCTAAGACCCCTTGAGCTGAGAATGTCATTGATTTGAACTTGGTAACTTGGAATTGAAGTTTCTTCAAAAGTCAGAATTTGAAATCATTGGTTTAGCTTTTAAACACTTTGATTCTGTACATTTTTTCTTCTAAACATATTTAGTGAACCTCCAGAAGTGATTAGCATAGAAAAACGCGCGTTTTGGATGAGTTTTGATCAAAGTAGAGGTCACACTTTTCTTGTTTGCAACTTCACACAATTTCCCTCCAAACTTCATCATTTCATACGCTTGAACATTCCATTTGATTCCCTATAAATAGAGGGTCATTCCTCATTCATTTCCTCAAGCTTGGATAGCCAGAATCACCCTGCCAAACTTGCTCCATAACTCAAAATTCTGCTACTTCGAAATCTGCTTTCAAGCCTTTTTCAATCTAATTTTTCTATCAATTCACCTTCCTTGATCTCCCCTGAAGCTAACCATATAATTACATTCAAGAATCGTGCCCTATATTGCTCCATAAAAGTCCAGTTTCAGTGCTCTGCAACTCAACTTTAATAGGTAGATTCCTTCATCAATTCTTCAAAACTTTGATATCATTGTGATGCTCTCATTGTCCTAGTTCTAGTTACAACACTTATTTTCATCTGGAAACTTGTTTTGACCATAAAATTTCAAATCCCTTTTCAAAACATTCTTTCCAAATTGCTTGAGCTACAGTTTATATAAATTTGTCGCGAAGGTGCGGTTGTCTTCGTCTAGAAGAGACGAAGCGAATGACATAGGTCTGAGCTTCTGATTTTTACAATTTGAGAGACCTGCAATTCACGTTGGCTGGAGGTTGAAGATGACTAATGTGTCATCTTCCAGCCAATGATGGCACACCACTTGTTTTTTTTGAAATCTGATTTAATTAATGATTCAATGCATTATCCACTAAAATCCATAACATGCACAGCGCGCCAGGTCCACTTGATCTGTTTACTACACGTTTTGACATTGATTAGATGACCCATATTTTTTTGGTTTTTATTTTCTTTTCTGATTTTTATATTTAATTGTTTTAAATTTCAAAAAATCATAGAAAATTCATTTTTAGTCCAAAAAATCTGAAAAAATTATGAAAAATATTTTTGATTTTTCTCTTTCTGATTTTTATTTTTTCATAATTTTATTTTGTGTTTTGATATTTTTTATAAATTTTCACTTTATTTGATTTGTTTTAAATGTTTAAAAATACTTTCATTCTTTTTTAAATTCTGGAAAAAAAAATGAAATGATCCAATGATATTGTGACAAATATTGGTGACTTCACTTATTTTTTATTTCCGACTTTGGTATATTTTATCATTTTTGGTTTATTTTACTCATTTCTTTAAATTTTAAAAATAGTTTCTGACTTTAAAAAATTACCAAAAATTTTATAAAAATATTTGAGTCCATTTCTGATTTATCTATGGTCTTACTTTTTATTTCTTGATTAATTTGAACATAGTTGATATTTTTATCCCTTATTTCTATTTTGAATATTTCTAAAACCTTTTTTTAATGTATATATTAAATGCAATATTATTTTGTGATTATTTTATGACTGGTCTTAGGTTGAATTTTTGATCATGAACTTTATTAACATAATTGAATCCATGGTGGTGAGTCTAAATTCACAAAAATGGATGAATGATTTTAATAATAGTTTGATTTAAATTTAATTCAAATGTGGTTTGTATGTTCTCTCTCACCCCTCTTCATCTTGTCTCTTTCTCATTGCACTAAGTGTTATTGGAGCATGATCTCTATATCATGTCTCAAAACAAATTGTGCATAGATTATTATTGACCGACCTCAAAATAGGTGCGACTTCTACTTAAGTCCACTTACGATTGCTTAACATATCGCTAAATTTTGTCCCGATTTAAATAAATGATCACTCGTGGCCCAAACCTATGTTTGCAAGCTCTAGTATGTTAATTTGATCTCTTTGATCCAATAACCTTGAGATTCATTATGTGGAGGCTTTGGTTCTACCAATCCTCTAATGGATCTACAACACTTTTGGTCAACGCGGATCACTTAAACATTGTTGATCATTAAATGATACTTTTGAGTATTCCAAATGAATGATATACTTGACAAAAAGAAAATGCAACTTGTTGTATGGAGGCTTTGGTTCTACCAATCTTCTAATGAGTTCCAAATGCAAGTTTCAAGATGGTCATCCAACTAACCACTAATTATTTAAATTGTTTTTACTTTATGTCCCTTTTTATTTTTCATGCTTTATGTACCATTTACTTTAAGCATTACATTACATTTCATGTCATTTTTATTTTTTTCTCACTTGAACCTTTTATTTTCTCTTCTAAGATACCTAATAATCAATATGAACCATAAAAAAACTTTAATGATATTTGGACTGTTTGGTTACTATCCTTGGCATTATGGAGTATTGAACTTCTTGGACTTATGATTAGAGACCTTAGCCTATGTTGGAGACCTTGTGATCTTAATTAATATTTTGTCTGGAGTTCTTGAGGTTTACCTCAATATATTGGGTTGTTTGTTTGTTTTGTGTGCAGGTTATTGTGATTACATACTTTGTTTGTAGTCTGAAATTCACTCGTATACAACCGTTACTCTGCCTAATTTTTTATGAAGACTTAATACACTTGAAGTTTGGTTCTCTCAAGAGGTCTAATACCTTTCCTTTCTTGGTTTCAATCTAAAGAATGAGAATTTTATTTTGACTCATAATGTTAAGTATTGGCTTCTTGTTGGTTAGATGGTTCATATCATTAGCTTTTACCTTATGCTTTAGGATAGCCTCTTCTTCTCCTCCCATCTTCTTAAATTTCAAAAGATCTTCTCCCTCTTTTTGAAAATTCTTCTTATTTTTAAAATTGAACTACTTTCATAATAAACTTGGACTTAGGTCCATACATTTTCAAAACATCTTTCACAAATAAACTTCAATCAACATTAATAAAACCTAGACATTTTTTGTGAGAAGACTAAAAATCAATCAATCTTCATTCAAACCATTTTGCCATCTTGGCTTTCATCTTAAACTTTTTCTCAAAAGATTCGACTCTTGTCAATCCTTGTAGTGATGCAAACAATTATACTTCTACGATATGTAGTGAAGTGAGATATTTTCTACTTGGGTGTTGAGTGAGACATTGTTGATTTTAAAATCTAAGTCATATCCTCCACTTTGAGATGATATAAATTCTCATTTCTCATGATTGTGAGTAGTAAGTATGTTTTTCGACATGGACAATGACGATGATATCTTATCTCATAAAATTAACCAACACACTTGTGTTTTAAAATTTTTAAAGAGGAATTACGTGTACCCTGATCCCCTATTGCACGTAAGGTGGTACGTAGGCACTAAAGGTTCGCAACCGCGACAGGTACAAAAATCATAAAAAATATTCCTTTTCTCACCTCCACCATCCATTTTTATACAATATTTTATAGCTAAAATATATAGATTTTACAAAGAGATTCCTGCGGAGTACCGTAGATGTTTAGGGTGCTAATATCTTCCATTTGCATAACCAATCCCTTACCTAGAATCTTTCCCTCTCTTTTTGGATTACTCACTCTTTTCTCATTCCTTTGAAAACAATAAAGCGCGGTGGCGACTTTTATTTTGATTTGTACAAGTCTAGTCAATCCAATTGCTTAATCTTAAACATTTATGCCGCTACACTCTTTTCATTAAATAAAGTATTTCATATGTGGCAACTCAAATATGTTTCAACCATGTATTGTAAAACAGTTGGTTCTTATTGAAGCCATTTTATTCACAATCCAGATCATTAATACACATTGAACAAGCAAGGATAAACAAACTTTTGTCCAAAGTAAGAGAGTTTGCAAATTCTCAGTCTATATAGTATCTAAAGGTTGAACATGACCTTAATAGCATTACCACCCCGAGCACTTGTTTCAAAGGCTTCTTCCACTTCCTTTTGCGAGAATCCAAACCTATGAGTTATAAGTGGTTTTACATCAATTTTTCCACTCCTTAGAAACTCAAGGCAAAGAGGCCATGTATTCTTATAGCGGAAAATGCCAACAACATCAACTTCCCTGTCATGGATGAAGAAAATTTTTAAGTTATAACAACGCGACATAACTCATGTGAATGTATTTTTCTTAACTTATGACATGATGAATGCAGTGTCCAACACGTTTGATGACACTCGTATGACATGTGTTGAAAAAGTCAGACAAGTGTCTCCCAAAAAATGGTTTTTTTCTTTGCTTCAACACTCTTGAAATCGGTGTGCGTGTCGTGTCTTATGTTTTTGACATTATCAGTGTCAGTGTCAGTGTCGGAGTCTGTACTTCATAACTAGTAGGGAATGTATTTAAGGATTTTGAAATAAGAGGACGAAAATCATGAATTAGTTAAAAACAGGAAGACCAAAAGTGTATTTAACTGTATCGTTTAGGTCTGTTAAAAACAGGAAGACCAAAAGTGTACTTAAGTGTATCGTTTAGGTCCCATTTGGGAGTTTTCGATAATTACTCATATTAAGTCTGATGATTACCTTGCAGCAGCAGGCGTGAGTGGCACAGTCATTTCAGAATGACCCATTCCAACAAGACAAACTTTGCCACCTGGTTGAGTAGCAGTCAATGCTGTAGTCATGGTTTTGTTAAAACCAGCACAATCAAAGGTAACATCTATACCAGCTCCCATAACATTATGTATTTGCTTAACTTCGTCCGCTACATCCTGTAAAATAGTGTAGCCAAAACTTAAGTTATTTATTGAAGTGGAAATTTAAATCTGTTGAAACTTCTGATTCAATATACCTGAATGTTTGTTGAAACTTTAACAATATCGTCTGCGCCAAGACTTTTTGCAACAGATAAACGATGGTCATCCACATCCACGACAACAATCCTAGGTGCCCCAAAAGCGCGAGCCGAAAGCATTGTAACAAGTCCAATAGGTCCTGCTCCCATAATCAACACATTTGTTTCCGGTCCAATATTAGCTCGTCTACAAGCATGAACGCCAACACTTAAGGGTTCACACATTGCCCCTTCCTCCAAGCTCACATTGTCTGGTAGTTTAAAACATAGATCTGCTGGATGAACTATCTGAAAAGAGAAAAGTCTAACTTAAACACGGGTTTCATTTGAGATGATTGATCTAGTGCATGACTGCATGTTTGAAATCACGACAAGTTCATGGGCCACCGTGATTTTGTTAAGGCTCCAAAGTGTATCTTTTGTTAAAATCACGGCGATTTGCTATATTTCTGCAAAACTCACTGCGTGTTGTCCGCATATTGTCAGTGTTCCTTGAAAAATTTTCGGCGTTCTGTATATCGTAAATCTTGAAAATAGCAATTAGTTCAAATTCTACTGCGCTAGAGTGCTATAGCACCACCATACCTACCTTCTATTTGATGAAATAGCGCCACCATACCTACCTTCTAGTGTATCGAAGAACAATAGTGATTTGTTCAAATACCATTACGCAATACCCACAACTTGACAACACTAAAATTCTAACTTTTAGAATTTTTGTAGTTCTAATAGGACACAACAACGAACTATACTTTGAGAAATTATGATTTCTTTTAACAAACCTGATTAGCAAGGGAACCATGAACTGGCGGAGTAGCAAAAAACTTCATATCAGGGCATAGATTATATCGACCAAGTTTGCAATGGTTGCAACGCCAACAACTGATCCCAGGCTCGATCGCGACACGGTCACCAGACACCAATGTCTTGACTTCACTACCAACTTCTTCTATGATCCCAGCACACTCATGACCAATAACCATTGGTTCTTTAACAATAAAATCTGCACATCTCATTGTCTGATAGTAATAAAATAATCATTAAAAATTGGAACTTTTTAATAGAAAAAACAAAGATAAGTGCGGCAAATTATGGAGGAATCACTTGCAAATACAGATTATCAAACTCACCAAATCGAAGTGTAACTTTTTTTCTTATTTAGTATTGAAATCACATGTAACAATAATAATATTACCTACCTTGAGGTAGTGAACATCACTCCCACAGATTCCAACAGCTTTCATTCTAATTCTGACATCATGAGGTCCTTCAAAGATACAAAATGAAGTAAGCCAAATTTAGCAATGAGACTCGAATTCTATGCAATCGATTAACACAAGGTTGTCAAGATCTTGATCAACATCTTAAAATCTTACGATTTTGCAATCTCACTCACCCCTCAGCGATCCTGATCTTAAGTAGAATTGTGTGTTGTATTGTAGGCAAATTGTGAAAAAAAATCGTAAAACCATTGATTATGTGCAATCTTGGCCAGTTCCAGCCACGATCGGCCGTTTTCCGGCCACCATCACTACAAGCCAAGAAGAATGACAAGATGCCGAGGCTCAACAATTACAGTTTGGCTGAAGCCATTTTCCCTAGAATAGAATTGCCTACCAAAATCATGTAAAAGAAACTTCAAATACATTGTAGTGTATTCGATAGTGTTATCGATAGTGGCGGATAGCGGCGCTACCCCGGGATAGCAGCCTGGAGCGGTGACCCTCTGCTATGGAGGAGCGGTTCGCATCTCAGTTTGAGATAGCGACCTCTATTTGATGTTTAGCGGGTAGTGGGAGCAGAGCGCTTCCCGGTCCGAGCGGATTTGAACTGTTTTGAACGCGAAAACCTATTCACCTCTTCTTTCTTCTTTCTTCTCTTCTTCTTTCTTACTTTTCTTTTCTTTCTTCTTTCTTTTTTGTTATTTCTTTTCTTTATTATTCTGTTTTTTTAAGTCTTCTTTTCCTCTTCTTTCTTTCTTTTCTCTTCTTTCTTCTTATTGTCCTATGTTTTGTTTAAGTGATAGTCATTTAATAACTCTATTCATCTTCTTCCTTAATTGTTTGGCTTTACATTAAATATATGCTTTATAGATTATTCATATGATTAGTCTAAAAAATAATCAAATAGCAGTTATCTCGCAATCTCATTTTGAAAATTTCTTAACCCACCCCATGGCCAAAACAAGCACCCTATGCAATTCCGAAAATGTCCCTCTAAAACCGGAAATGCATTTCTGGTTCGCACCATATTCTTCACAAAGGCCAATATAATTTCACCCTTCAAAAGGCAAAAACGGAACTGAAAATGCACTTCCGGTACAAAACCGGAAATGTATTTCCGGTTCTTAATAAACAATACACAGGGTGGCTCATACTTTAGTGATAATGAACAGTAGCATCATCTGCTTGGGTGGACATGCATTATTTATTAGGAACCGGAAATACATTTCTGATTTTACGTATGTGCAATATTTAGTTAATCAAATTATGGTGCGCACCGGAAGTATACTTCCGGTTATGAGGGGCATTTAAGGAATTTCGCGTGATGTGTAAGAAAGTCATAGGGTGGGTTAAGAAATTGAGGTCGCTCCGCTATCTGGGATTAATAACTCTGATATAGTATTATTTTTTTATTTAATAATATCTTACGATCTTATGTTTTACGATCTTGCTACCCCCTCTCGATCTTACAAAAATAATTAGGTAGGATCTTCCGATTTTAATATCTATCTTATGTTTCACGATCTTACTATCTCCTCCTGATCTTATGCAAGTCCGATTTTAATATTTATCTTATGTTTCACGATCTTACTATCCCCTCCTGATCTTATGCAAGATCCCGATCTTGACAACCTTAGATAACAGCATTGTTACCAAAATAAAGTAATCCAAAACATGCCGTATTTCAACAATGAACTTAATATCAACCATGCCCACATTTCAAGATTAAATTTTGAATCCAATTTATCAATCAATCCATACCTCTGATTTGCTTTACCTGTAAAAATCATCATTTTTCAATTACAGAAAATCCAAATCCCTAATCTTTAACTACAAACTAAATCCAAAGCATGCCAAGTTTCAAGTTTGAATTTTGAATCCAATTTACATATCCATCCAATGTTCTGATTTGCTTTCTAATTTTTCAACTACATAATATCCCAAAATCCCAAAAAAATTCAACAGAGGAAAAAAACACCCAACAAAAACAACAATAATAATAGTAAAACGAAATTTAGATGAATACCAAGAGTTGGAAGATTGAAAGGTTGAATCTTGAGAGTGTTTAATCCAACAAGCCAAGCAGCCATATTCTGTTGTTCAACATGATCATCAATTGACATTCCCCCTTTACCCATTTTTCTTAATCACTCTCTGAAAACTTAAATTCAAAATCTAATTTTTAACCTAAATATCAAATACACGAAGTTTTGTGTGTGATATAAAATATTGGGTTGTTCTCATTTCTTATCCATAATCCTTTTTCTTTATTGGGTTGATTTCTAATCCATGATTTTTATTTGTGCTTATCTTTTTCACACTCTCGGCTAATGGGTTTTTAGACACATCTTGAGTGATGGTGATTCTATTGTGTTTAGTTATCTATCATAAACACATCATGCCAGCTATGATGCCACTCGTGCTTAAGAACTGAAGCTACATAGTAAATCAAAACTTCCATTCTAGAATGATTTTCCTAATTTTTTAGTCTTCTTTTAAGAAAAAATCAGTTATTAGGTCTCCTAATATCAATTAGAGTAAATTTTTTATGATCTATGACCATTTGTCAGCTATTTTAATGACATTACATTATAAGATTTGTCTAATCACTTGTCACATCATTAAAACAATTTTATTATTCATTTTTAATTTGTATTTTTATTTTTTATTTTGTCAGAAACAATTTATTTGATTTAAAGAAATACGAAATGGTTAAAACTAGGTTATAAAGTTGAAGTTTCTCCTTCGTTTTTGTTTATTGTTTTACTGTGTTTGTTTTCCGTCTTTCAACTTCTTTCGTTTTTGTTTTTCAGTATTGTACTCTGAAAATGTCTCAATGCTCGGAAGCCACTAGTCTCGGAACTATGCGTTCATGTACTTTTTGAAGCGAGTGCAGGTGTGGTCTTGAAGCTCCATTGATGACTTCATGGACCGATTCCAACTCAGGTCGATATTTTTTTGGGTGTGAAATGTACAGGGTAATGTCCATGTCTACTAGTTCTAAAAAAGTACATTTTTTTTATCAATTTTCTGTGTTTGTGCTTGAATTCATTCATGTGTGTTATTTACATGTACATGGTTATAAAAGGTGTAGCCGTTTTGTTTGGTATGATGATGAAATGTCTTCAAGAGCCAAGGAAATTATCACTTCACTAAAAAAAAAGTTGAATCAAGAAAGGGAAAAAGTGGATGAAGCCAATATAAAAGTAGCAAAAGTAAAGATGAAGTTGAATTCAATGAACTTAATGATGAAATTCTCTGTTTCTAAAATATTTGTTTTGGCAGTAGGATTCATGTTGTCAAATGTAATGAATTACTATTTTCAATTAGTGTAAACTTAGGTGTAAGTTGTTGTTGTCAACTTATGATTAGTGTTGTCTGTTGATGGAAACTTGTAATCAAATGAATGTACTTGTTGGTTTGAATTGAAATGAAGATGTTGTTTTTGGTTAACCTTGTATTGGTTTGAAGTTAATTACAATGAATATGAAAAATGTAACAGAAATTTAACACAATTCATAAATAAAATAACAACTTCATTAGATTCATTAGCTTGTTCATGACATAATACCTAAATAACATAACATAAGTTCATTACAGAATACCAAAATAACATAACATAAATTCATGGCAGAAACTTGTTCATAACTTAAAAAAACATTTAACATTATAATCATGTCCTACAACTACTCTTGAGTTTATTGTGTAATAGGTGGATCTTGAGATGATGTGTCAATTTCAGCTACAACAACAATTGTAGTCTTTGTCTTTGCCTTATTCTTTGTCTTTGCCTTGGTCTTATTTTTTGCCTTAGTATTTGTCTTGTCTTTAGTCTTGCCCCTGTCCTTTGAAGTTTCCTTGTCCTTAGTCTTTGCCTTTTTGTTCTCACCAACAGGTATGATTCTGTTTGTATCTCTTTTTCCTTTGCAACTTCTCATGTTATGACCAACACCTCCATATTTTTTTGCATGTAACTGTGGTTAAACTCCTTGGAAACACATGTGGATTTCTTGGCTCATCATTTGATTTGTTCCTCATTTTTTTTTGGACATCCAATTGCCTTTCTCATCAATGGTGGATTGACTTCCATTTGTCCATCTACAACAGGCAACAACTGTGGTCCATTAGTTAGGTAGATGATGTTGGCATAACATTCTAAATACTTAGATTTCCTACACAAAATTAGAAGTAATAGCCATAACACATAATTACCAATAACATCCAGAACAATTAATTAACAATAACAACTACAAGACATAAAGATGACGCAACTTAAACTTACTTATAATAATCATCAACATATTCTTATGGTGATTTCTTGATTTGCCACATACAAGAGATAACATGGATGCAAGGAATCCCAGTCAACATCCACTTCCTACATGAACAAGATCCTTCTTTGAGATTGACACAAAAAGTTTCTTTCCCATTTGTGACTTCAAATATTGTCATATCATCATCACCAAGCCAGGTTGGAGCCCAACCATGAGCATACTTCTTGTTCTTTTAAAGAATCAATTGGATATTAGGGTGTTGTACCCTAAAATTTTCCCTCCCATTTCAAAAGATCTCCTCATGCTTCCTAAGGTTCTCAAGTACTCAAGACTATTCAAGAATTGATCAGATGAACCCTCCTCCTAAGTAGTGGCCTACAATTAGGATTTTGGTTTTTTCAAATAAAATTGAGCTTATAATGTGTCAAGTGAGTTTCATGGTTCCTTATATGCTTCAAAGAATCCTCATACCAAATTTCAAGCCTTGCAACACAAGTTTTCTAAGTCAATTAATCAGATGATTGAAAATCTACTATATTGGACAAAAAGTCAACTTTGACCAATTTGCAGTCAAACTTCAACATTTTTGGTCAACATCAACATTTTGAGCTCATATTCATCATTTGATCAAGGGTTGATCATAATTCATCAAGAAAACTCAAGATTCATCAAAAGTCAAAAGTTACTAAATTAGGGTTTTCTTTAAGAGAAGTCAACTGAACTTTGACCAAGCATAACTTTCACACGCTTCATCAGAAAATTCTCAACCAAAGCCCGTATTGATGGAAATTAAATTCTCTACAACTTTGTATCTCTAAGATCAAGGACAAAAATGCTTCATTTGAGAGATATAGGTCAAAACATTACAGGTCATTTTAAAAGTCAACAAAAAGACACTTTTTATCAAAGCAATTTACATCAAGATAAAGTCTTCAAATGAAAAAATGACCAACATGAAGTTTGTAGGGAACATCTTGAGGTTTCCAAAAATTCCAAGATCACATTAATATGAAAAAATTGAGAGAGTTATGATTTGTGCAAGTTGGGCAATTTTGAGAAATGCATGAAGTCCACTTTGAGTAAAGTTGAATTTTTGGGCTAATGGGCCTAAGTTTTTAGATCCAAACATGTTCATAGCACATTAGAGGACCTCTAAGTCCATTCATACCTTACCATAATTTTTATTTTTATTTATTTTGATTTTTATTTAATTAAATACAAAATAAATTAAATTAAATACAAGATATATGGTAATAGGTGCATGGATATTTGTTTTGATCATAATTGAAGCCCAAAAAGATTGTGACAACTAATAGAAACCGTGTGGAGTACTTTTGAAGCAAATCTTGACCAAAATTAGAAAGTTTTAAGATGATTTTCCAATCAAATCTTCACCTCATGATCACATGGATTCCTTTCGCTTTTGTTGACCTAATTCCATCCTCTATATAAGCACAACACATTTAGATGCTCAAGACACGAATTACTACCTCCAAGAACTCTAAAAAAAATCTCAAAATTTCTCAAACTAGGGCAAGCACAAAAGACTATTTTCAGCCTCCTTCAATCGAAACCAAGCATCCAAAAACATTCCTAAAGTTCCCAGAATCACTACCAAGCCAAGAAGCAAGCCTGTCCACGCCTGGAATCATTCATTCAAGCCCACCGGTTTTGGTAAAATTTCTCAATTACAAACTCTTAATTCTCACATTGTAAATCATTTATAAGCATTCATATATGTTCGTATTGATGTTTGGAATGTCTTAGAACCATTGCTTTTGAGTTTTGATGCAGGGATAAGAAAACGCCATTGCTAGGGCGTGAAGCTCCGACTTCATTGTATCTCGTTTTACAGGCACTTTCAGGCCAAAATAAGACCACCAATGAATTTGCAACCATGGATTTAGGGGGATAAGGTCCTCTTTTCTTTTTAACACACATTGTTTTTGCAGGACCATGAAACACCTAGCCGGAGAAGACGACCGGAGCTAGGGCTCCGACACTTCTCCGGTGCATTAATTTTGTTTTATATATATATATATATCGTTTTTTCATTTTTTGTGTTTTTCCAGATTAATGTACATGCCTCAAATATAACCAACACTTTCTGATTCCTTACACCAACAGCGCGCTGGTGCAGTGGCATGCAATGCAATGTGAAAGCTAGAGGGCGTGGGTTCAACACCCACCCCAAACATTATTTTTTTCACTAACCCTTGTTTATTTCTCTTTCTTATTTATTTCTTAATCAAATTCTAACAAACCCCAGTCCTTTTTCAAAACCCTAACAAATTAGATTTAGTTTTAATTAATTAGTTATTCAATTTTTTCTTAAATATTAAAATCAATTAGACTTTAGTTTTTTTTATTAATTAAAATAAATCAGACATTAGGGTTTTTATTAACTTAATTTACTTAAAATTGATTAGAATTAGGTTTAATTACTTATTAACACTCAAATCATTTTCTAAACAAAAACACCAAGATATTTTTCCTAACCCTTAGAATTTTAGGGCATTTGACATTTTTTTCTAACATTTTTTTTTATATTTTCTTTTGCATTTAAATTCCTAGAAATAATTGTATAGGTCACACATTTTTTGTTGTTGTAATAATATATGTTTATTTCTCGCATTCTTTTATGCTTATGTAACTCCCTCAAAGCCTTGTAATAGCGTATGGTTTACTTTCCCCATGATGTTTCCTATGAATAAAGTATCTCTATATGTTGCCTTCAATGACCATACGATGACCCTTCGCCTGTCCCTTCACATCCAATAGATAGGGCTACGTACCAACTAATAGTATGGATATCACTATCTCGAAAGGATAAGGAAAAGAATAAGAACGACCTTTAGTGGGTA